AACATTGTAATTCAATTTTTATGATTTAAAATTCTTATGATTTAAAAATTGACATTTATTTTTCGCACTTCAACATTTAGAATAGGATATTTCCAAATGAAATAATCTACATTTTTATCTTTTTCGATTTTACAATCTTTATTTTACTTGTGTTTTTTTTTTTTTTCAGTTCTATGGACTCAAACTTTTGTTTATTTTGATTACATACTTTCTACTTCGATATTTATAATAAAAAATTAAAGATAGAGAGTTGGAGAGTTTGCTCTTAAGATACAGAGTTTGAACTTTCGTTAAAAAAAACTGCCTTGTTCTTTAACATGCTTTCTAACAAACTTCGATCGTGTTGATATTTTGAAGTTTACTCTTTATTTTCAGACACGTTACAGCCGCTGTATGCGCTATGAATAAATAAATTCATTAATTTTATTTATTTTGCCGCAGCGATGTTTCACCGAGGGAGGCAATTCAGCCGTCTGGCTGAATCCACCGAGAGCATTAAGTGACCTGGTGAAGCAAGGAGCTCTAAAATACTTGAATCAAAGCACCTTTCTATTTTCACGTGCGCAGCGGAGTACTCGAGAGCGCGATCTGCTCGGCCGAACTGCTTTTGGAATTATCAAGGAACGAGCAACAAATGGCGAGCCACGTATATATATATATATGTGTGCGTACTCTCGCGACCGCAACTTATCTTTCGATGACTCGGCCGTGTTTCATTGCCTAATCCTTTTAAGGTAGTCTTCGCTCGTAGGAAGGTTGCTCCGTTTTAATTACAGAACCTGCGACGATTCTTCTTGATTCAATTCGTGCTTTATGAACCACAGAAATATTCGAAAGAATATAATATTCAATACTTTTCATTACGAGTAGAGCCTCGTCTATCCGAGCTACTGTTTTTTCAATTTTTCTTCGATATTCGAGTGTTGTTTCATTCAATCGGATCGTCTGTTAGTAATTGGATGACGTTTTCTTGCAGTAATTATAATTGATTGGATAATTAAGATATTTGTGTGATAAAAGCTCGGATTAAGAAGGCTCTATTGTAATTTAATTTTTGTTATTTCAGCTACATTCCATCGCAAATGGTTAAATACTATTCAGGATTTAACCACAAGTGAATATAAATTTTTGAAACTAACAGCAAGTCTATCTTGATATACCAGATTGTAAAGCTATTCATAATTTCATTATAATTATAAGTCTTTATGATTAATAACAAGTCGACATTAATTCAGTGCATAGTCTTTCTTTAGGTAGTAAAAGTAAAAATAATCAAATAAAATGTCGAGTTCAACGTGATATAGAATCTAAAGAAACGATTAATATTTTACGTGTATACGAAACACTTTGACGTTCTATAATTCATAACCCAGTTCTATCTACTCGCGAATATTTTCTGTTAACGTTCAAAAAGTCGCTCGTCGCGGAAAATGAAAATTAGTATATACTTAATTCCACTGAATGTAATATTTATTTCGTTACAGGACACTTCAATGGACGTTGAAAAATAACCTTTAGATAATAGGGCTATTAATGGTCCATTGGTTTTCGACGACATGCAAAGTGTTCATGACACGAAAAATGGTCAGCAGTCATTTCACTGACGAA